AAGAGAGATGCAAATAAAAACCACAATGAGATACCATCTTACCCCAGTAGCAGAAGAAAAATTTAGCAGGGCAGGATGTAATAAATGTTGGAGAGGATTTGGCAAAATAGGAACTCTTATACATTGTTGGTGGGATTGTAAAATGGTACAACCACTCTGGAAGGTAGTTTGGCATTTCCTCAAAACGCTGAACGTAGAAATTCCGTATGACCCAGCTATTCCACCGCTTTGAATATACTCCAAGAAAATGAGAATTGATGTACACCAATGTTCATAGCAATGTTATTCACCATAGCAAGATCATAGGAACAGCTCAGATGTTTAACTACAATGGAATGGATTGAGAAATTATGGTACATTTACATAATGGAATACTATGCAGCACGCAGGAGCAATGATTTTGTAAATCACTTACCTAACTTGGGAGGGACTGGAGAGCATTATGCCAAGTTAACTAACTCAACCCCTTAAAGACAGATACTGTGTAAGACCATAATTATAAAACATGAATGAAGAACCAAGTGGGGAGGGGGGGGAGGAGAGAGTGGAGGATGTGTGATGGGGATGGTGGTTAATCATAGGGTCACACCATTTGATGTGTGGCAGGAGGGATGAGTGAAGGAAGGGAAAAATCCAGTGTGAAGAACAGTGCATACTAACTTTGTAAGTACATCAGTATATAATAAATTTTTTTTTGTTTTTATGTGCTGTCAAGTTGCCTGCAACTCATAGTGACCCTATATAAAATAATCCTTAACCCTGCTCTATATCCTGTGCCAATCTTACTGTCTCTGACACACTTCAAAAAACAAACCAAAAACAACACAAAAAAACACCAAAAAAACCCACCTAAAAACCTCACTCCTAGCCCATTGTAGTAGTTACCACCTGAATCCATCTTCTTGAGGATATTACTCCTTTGTGCAGATCCTATGCCTTTCCCATCATGATATCTCTAAGGACTGGTTCTACTTTAAAAAAAATACCCAGAGTAAATGAGATAAAGATTCAGCATCCTTATCTCTAAAAAGCTCTCTAGTTGCACTTACTTCAAGACAGATTTGTTTGTTCTTTTGGCAGTTTATGGCATATTCAGTACTCTTCTCCAACACCACAATTCAAAGGTATCATATCAATTCTTCCTCAAGCAGATATGTCTTGGAGAAAGTATAACCACAGTGCTCATTGAAGGAAGATATGTCAAAGCCTCACCTCATATGCTTTAGGGATATATTTAGGAAAGGCTATTCCTTGGAGAGGGACATCATGCTTGGAAATGTGGAGGGTTGAAAACAGAAAGGAAATCTAAATCAGATGGATTGACACAGTGACTGCTGCAGTGTGTTGGAATGTATTATAAATGATAAGAATGGAACAGCAGAGAATATAGTTCTGATCTGTTGTTCTTAAGGTCACTATGAGTCATACTCAACTCAATGGCATGTAACAATTGCAACAACTTGTTAAAGTAGTTATCAAGCTCTGGGGACTTAATGATAAGGAATTGTACTGCCAACACAAAGGTACATGGTTCAGTCCACTAGCTGCTCCTCGGAATGATGGGCAGCATCCTCTCATGTGATTCAGTACTTCAGAATATTGTTGGAAGGTCAACTGTGTGTTTGTTTTGACTCCACCATATACTCAACAACAGCACCCACCACATTTGTTAAAGATACTCATTTCCCCATTTGTTGATGAAATTACTTCAGGGTTCTCAGTTCTGTTCCTTATGTTCCTCATTTTCACAGTTGTTTTTCTTGTGTACCATCGAGTCAGAAGCAACCCATAGCTGACCATCAGCAGGTTTTCAGAGACTGTAATCACATGGGAGGAGATTGCCCATCCTTCTCTCGCACAGCAGCTGGCAAACTCGGACCATGCACTTGTGGGATTGCAGCACAGTGTCTTACCCCTGTTACTGTATTCTAGGTCTCGAGATTTAGGAGAGTGATATTTGCCTTTTTTTAAAAATTTTTTTAATTTTTTTTTTCTTTCAGTTGTGCTTTGCTTTTCCAAAGTCTCTTTCCTTTCTATATAAAGTTAAGAATTCCAACTCTTTTAAAAAATGTTAGTAGAATTGGCACTGGGACAATCTTTCATTTTATCATAGTTGTTGTTATTTTGTGTC